ATTATCCGCTTTGATTATGCCACTAGGCATTTGATTCAAGCATTGGCATGGCAGGTCAGTCGTTCCCTGCTCTGCGGTTGCCGGTTCGTCCTGGGTCACTGGACGAACGCCTTCGCAGGCGACCACCTTCCGTTGACGCGCGAAGGACCGTCGACTGCGGACGTCCCCATGTAGGGTTCTCCGCCGGCCGCCATTGCCCCTTCTCTCTCTCTCTCTGTCTTCGACAGTCGTGCCCCCCGTCGTTGATCAGTCGACAATAGGCGAGGACCACCATTGCACCTCCTCTCTCTCTCTCTCTCTCTCTCTCTCTCTCTCTCTCTCTCTCTCTCTCTCTCTCTCTCTCTCTCTCTTCAACAGTCGTGCCCGTCGTCGTTGATCAGTTGGCAATAGGCGAGGAAAATCCTCGTTCATGCCTTTTCATTGTCATTATAGCCAACCAATTCAATTACTTGTCGAATCTGGATAGAACAGTCTTTCAGACCTTTTTTATTGTCATTATGGTATTACGGGGAGCCCCATACATCCATGCTCAAGCCTCCTAGGAGGGAACATGTGGGAGCTGCACCACCAGCAGGTGTGATATCTGCTACAGCAGGTGGGCGATACCGAGCTTCTTCGATAGGCCAGTCATTGTGCCTCCAATCCGGTCCCCTCCCCCTATAAGCATCAGCAATCTCTGCTCAATGCCACTAGGGGGGACCAACGACATATCTCTAGGTGGCGAGCGCCAAGCTTGCCCAGGAGGGTACATGAGGCCAACGAGGATTGAATCCAAGACCTCCTTAATGCCACTCGCATGCCTTACCAACTGAGCTAAGCGACAAGATACCTTTTTTTTTCTTTTTTCTTTTTTTTGTGGAAAGTTGCCTTCTCCTCATCGGGGGACAACCATATATTTTTTCTCTCACCTCACATATCTTTTAACTAGTGTTCTGGCATATCATGGAACATATCTTTCTTTTCACTCCCTACGACTACTCCTAAGGCTATACAGAAAATCAGTGCAAGCATAGCTTTCTACCTCTCTTCGGTGAAGGGAGGTTACCTCTCTCGGTGGAGAGGGGTAACAACATGTTTGCCCCTTTGCCTTAGCGTTTCATGGTGCAGGGTTGGGGCCACCGGTGGGGGCCCAGCTAACACAAGGATCGATGGTTACTCGATCGAGGTGGGGAAATATGAAAAAGGAAGACACAGTTTCTGACAAATGTCATTTGCTTGTTTGTTTTTGCCCAACGAATACTTTTTTTTTTTTTTAAAGAAAAGCAGTAGTTTGTCATTAGAAAAGCAGAAATGAGGTCAGGAATCCCTCACAGACAGCCCGAAAATGTAACCAAAGTTTTTTTTTTTTTTTTTTTTTTTTTAATTATGGAAGTTTATTGCAAGGAAAGAAAACAGGAGCACCAGTGTCAGGGACCCCACAATTCAACCCGGAATTATCGGTCTGGAAGCTTTAGCCAACTTCTCTTTTTACCAGACTGAGGGGATCCGGTGTCGGGGCAAATACCCTGACAATGTCAGGGTATTTGCTGGGGATCTTAAAACGTTGAACGCTGTCCGACTTTTTCGTTAAATTGAAGGACTTGATGAGACTCATGTTTGCCAAAAAAAAAATCAGACCTGCTATGACTAAGAGATTGGAAATTTTCTGGATTTCAGCTTGGATGTTTGTGTCATGGCGGTAGCCGACAATTTCTAGTAGGGTCGCAGAGGTACACGGACGCAGGATCGCTAAAGCTAAATCTATTTTTAATGACTAATCGTGCGATTCATGGCCTAAGTAGGCTAAAAAGAGTGGCGGTAGTCATTGGGATCACGACGCGAGAGGAATAAGAAGCATTTTTTTAATTTCCTTGGCTCGCGGGGTTTGACTTCGATCCAGGGGACCGACAGACCAATGTCGAGACCGTACCCACGACTTAAAGGCTGGCCATGGGGCTGCCCAACTGCAATGCCTGTCGAGTGGAGGGTAAAGTGATAGGCTAAAGGGTTAGTGCAGATGGGGTCTACCCAAGCTGAATGGTAGGAGGCCTACTGGACTTAGCTCTTCAAATAGAAGAGTTGTTACACTAGTCTCCGTGATAAGAGCTAGCCCAGTAGGTACTACATCAGACTTTCACCCAACAAGTTCTGAGATCGAGGTCGGCACTATACTATCTAGGCTAGCTCTTTTGGAGTTGGAGTTGGCCATCATGAAGGCATGAACGATTTCGACCGTGCGATCAATGATATCGCATGGCTGGGATCAGTTGCACAGATTCAACGTGCCCCTGCGCAAGGATGACACACATAAATCGTGAAAAAAAAGAAAAAAAAAACTAACTAAAGTCGAAGCGCCACATGGCGCTACTAGGAGTGATTGGGGACTCAGAGTTACTAGAGTTGCACTAAGCGCCCGTTTTCAACAGGCAACCAATTCTTTTCAATGTAAGTTTTTTGTTTTTATTTTGTTATTTTTATTTTCTTATATTTTTCTTTAGATTTTGTTTTTTTTAGTTTTGTTTAGATTATTCTTCTTTATAGATTTCCTCCCCCTTCTCGTTTTTACTAACGGTAGCTTTCTCTCTGTGCCCGTTCGTTAAAAAAAAATGGGCTGCAAATAGGGTACTTCCATCGATAGGGGGAGGGAAGTTGAATGAACCTGCCCCTAGAATAAGGCACTATACACTACTGTGTGTGTGTGTGTGTGTGTGTGTGTGTGTGTGTGTGTGNTAAAAAAAAAAAAAAAAAAAATGGGGAGAAGAGTGTGTCAGTCTGAGTCGCCCTCTCTCTCTCTCTCTCTCTCTCTCTCTCTCTCTCTCTCTCTGTGTGTGTGTATGTGTGTCTGTGTGTGTCTCTCTCTGTACACACGCAGATGCTTTGTGCGTGGACGTCCACTCAACAGCCTTTGGCGCTTCTCACCACATACATGAAAGGCCAAAACTATGGGGGATGTATTTTCCCACGTACAGGTGGAAAATACATAGTACGTGGGAAAATACATACATCCTCATTTTCCACATTTGGTGAGGTGTTAAGGACGGGCACTCCCTAACCTACTGGCAGATTGGGCCTCGCTACACTACTCTCGACATGCACAAAAGACAAAAAATATTGGCGGTGTATCTTTCCATATTCTAGGGGAAGATTCACTCTCGTTTTGCACATTTCGAGAGTAGTGCAGCGAGGCCCATTGTCATCATTGCAAGACCCTTCTACACGGTTTTCAGAATTCCTCAAAAAAACTTTGTAATGGTGTCACACGGTGTCAGCGACCCCCCCACCGCGCCGCACCGCACGGGTATAGGAATCATCAAAACCAAACTCGTGCTACGGTCTTCCCCGTACTGTCATTATAGCTGAATCTGGTGGATCTTTCAGTCTAAAAATTCAGCTATAATTACCGTACGTTGTATTCGGGGGAAAACTGTAGTGGGACTTGGCCCCTGGTTATTTCAAAATGGCTCTCTTTGGAATAAGGATAAGAACAGTTAGATAGCAAAGGGACCCCTTTGGGGCATCCTGGCAATCTATAGTGTGAGCTACGGGTAGTAAGATTTTGGTAGCTACCGTCTTCGCCCGAATATAACGCCCGGTCATTATAGCCGTATTTGGGGCCTTTTTCTGTCCAGGTGCAGCGATAATGACGGTAGGTAGTCCTTTTTAATGAGCTTCAACAAGTTTACATTTTTTTGGAGAGTTGTGTTCCTCAATAGGGGAAGATGGGACACTGGACCCGTTTCCCAGTATATAGCCTACGCTGGGTATTGGTCCCCCCAGTTCCAGGTTGAATTGGGAGGTCCCCGGCCTCCTTCTCCTTTTATAATGTAAAAAAAAGAATCCAACTTCCCGAAGGAAAAAAAACCGGATGCAGAACAGAAAAAAGACAGACATGCCTGTCTGGGAATATAGCCTTACATCGGGGCCCCACGATGATTGAGGCCCCTACTGAGGCCCCCCCTCTCCTCCAGTAGGAAGCCCATACAGGGGGGCCGCTAGGTGGCCAAGATTGGCCTGTCCAAAGGGGATATCCGGGCCGTAGTGTAGTCTGGTATGCCAGAAACTACTGCCTATCGATTTCAACTCTCATGGTGTTTTATTGCACTCGATTTGAACTCTGGTGGTGTTTTATTGCAGTTAACCGGGACAAACCCCCGTCGCATTACATTAAACCCTAACAAACAAATGGGATCCCAATGGATCGGCACGAAATGAATGACACCCAATGAAATGTAAACCCTAACAAACAAATGGGATCCCAATGGATGGGCACAAAATGAATGACACCCAATGAAATGAATGATGCCAGCATGTTGCACAACAAAAGGCTTAGGAGAAACTTTGGCATATCGGCTATAATAAGCATAAACGTAAGGATACTAGTCCTGCTGATCTGGACTGATCACAGGGCGCGGCAACTGAAATAAAATTTGGTTCATCACTTCAACCTGTCCATTGGCTTCAGACGACCATATGTCATATCCAGTCTGGAATGAAGGTAATCCCTGCAGTAGGATTGCCATTTGTTGCTGCAAAAATGAGGATCTCTGTCACTGACTATAGAGGTGGGCTGTCCATGGGTCCGGTCAGCATAACGAGGGCAGAGCTGGTGAGGAGCACTGAAGATTGCCAGGAGCACTGAAGAAGATTGCAAGCAGACTGCAAGAAGAGGAGTTCATAAAGCCAGGACCACTGTCATCAATTCAATTCCACCTGAGCCAAATTTCCACTACATACGAAACGGGGGGAGGGAGGGAGGGAGGGGGGCGGGGGAAGAACAAACACTAGTAGTAGTGTCAAACATGTGATGATCATTAGAATCCAACTCCATTTTTTTTTTATTTTTTTTTTATTTTTTTTTTTTGAATCCAACTCCATTAGGATCCAACTCCATTTGAATTTCAATCCGCCAGGTGTAGGTAGAATAGCAGCAGTGGGACCAAGCCATATTTAGCCATTTAGCCATTTAGCCATTTAGCCCCCCCCCCCAAAGATTTCTGCCCAGATGGTTTAGGGTTTTTTACCTGCATGCTGCTTCAAACCATTTTGGCTTCCTAATTATGCCACCCTTGATGAGCTGCCTCACTTGTGAAATGAGGTCTCGCTTGTAGCTTGACATCGTGATCTTGTGTCAACCACATGCAAGACTCAGTTAGGCATGCATGAAGAGCAATAACCACCAACAAACCGCGCTGATCCTCTCAGGACAACAGGGAAACCCTATGGTACAAAGGGAGTGCTAACCACAGCTGCCGAGAAAGTTTCATGCAAACAAATCTGCAGAAAACAAACCAATCCACCACCACGTAAAGAACTGTAGTCACACACAAGTCCACAATGAAAGACAGTGAAAAATGCCAGCATGAAAAAGCCCAACAAGTTTCACATGAGCACCAACATTCCAGTGCTGACCCAATTTTCACATCAATGGATGTCAGAGTTACAAGTAAAGCCAGTGCAGCTACGCCCGCACGAATGGAATGTCGGAGTCTATGTAAACATCTATCTACATCTCTCTCTCTCTCTCTCTCTCTCTCTCTCTCTCTCTCTCTCTCTCCCCCTGTCGGAAAAATCAACCGGTGAAACCGATGACAGGTCGTTGTTAATCAAGATTATTCAATCAATTCACGGATTTTAATCAATCCATTCACCATCTTGATGAGTGAAAAGCATCCATCGAACTAGAAGACACACAAAAAAAAAAAGGCTCGACTGACAGGATTTGTTCCGAAATTGACGAACGCAGAGCTGATGAGCATTAAGTGTTGGCGTCACCAACGGCGCACGCGCGAGATATGAAAGAGGAGAGATGCAACCGGTCTGGCCACATCCCCACGATTAGAATATAGAGATTGAAATTTGCAAAAAAAAACAAAAAAAAAAGGTACATGATGGAGAAGCAGCTCTCGAAGGGTGCACTTAAATCACACAGTCAATCTTTCGTCATCTTTTTTTTTCCCTTGTTTTTCCCTATACCATTTACAATAATCGAGGGCAGGACTTGGAATGGCCGGCACGCCGCCATGAAGAGAAGATAGTGAACGCGAGAGAGAGAGAGAGAGAGCATCTCTCTCTCTCTCTCTCTCTCTCTCTCTCTCTCTCTCTCTCTCTCTCTCTCTCTCTCTCT